TTATAAAGGAGGAGCTATGTAAACACAGATATTCAAGAATTCTATTTCCTTTTTAGTGAAATAAAACCACCACACCTTTAAGGAGAACCTTTACTTAAATCTTAACAAATGAAATTTAAGCAAATTCAAACAGAATATTAGTCAAATGTTTAACCAGACAGACAAGGCAAAGCTTCAAATACGAAACAAAAATTCTGCAGGAGTTACTCCTAACAAGCCATCCTCCTAAGTAGCATCATATAATATACTTGTTATAACTTATATTTTTCTATTTTATTTTAAACACTATATTCAAAAGATAGCAAAATAAATTTTTACAATGTAAGTAAAGTGTTGGCAAATTGTTTAGCAAAATACATCTTCCCAGCTGACTAGAAACCTAAGACATTCAAAGGAAGAGGAAAGATCCCAGATCTGTATATGCAGCCATACCACTATAAATATATCTGCACAGTCAACCTGAGACCTATTTTGTTTTAAGCACATATACAAGTTTTTAAAAATGACAACTTCTTGTGGTTACTGGCTCACACTTTTCTCAAATACTCTGTTGGTCTGGGCAAGGTGCCACTTGTTTTTAACAGCAGCTTCTGTCTGACTGGCCATATCTATGGATCCACAGTTAAATCAACATCAACTCCAGAACCTCTTTCTAAAACAAGAAGAGAAAAACTTTAAGTTGAGAAAAGAAACATAAACACAAAATTACTCACATGGATACGACCACAACACATTTAATGTCTTCTAAAAAGGTGGGAGGCGGAGGCGGGGGCGGGGGGAAAGAAGTGTTCTAATTACTATGGCAAATCATTCCTACAGAACTGATTTTTTCTTTTAAGTATTTTGATTCTCACATGGTAACTATTATCAAAAAAGTTTCCCTGAAATATTATGAAATGTCATAGTTTTTCTTTTACTAGGATGATGTTGACAAGGCTGATAACCAATTGGTTCTTTGTCCGCTTTGATTATTGTGTACTTTTCACATACTACTAAAGCCACCAAGAGCTGACTGCATTCTCACTGTGCCTCAATTCTAAGAACCAATGTGCTATTTATGAGAAATATCATCCAATAACCAGAAACATTCAACAAATTTAATTTTGTCATGGATATAAACTAAAAACTCAGAAACAAATTCCAAAAGATTATTTAACATACAAGGATCATTTGAACACATGACCTAATTGACCCTGACAAAATCCTCTGAAATCATTTAAAATAGGCATTTATCAGATTCATGGTTTCATTTTCAAGATTAATTCAGCCAACAAACAAATTCTCTATGACATTTCAAGAAATCCTCTTCTTGCTTATCACCATAAGCACATTTAACACTTTTAGCCAAAGCATCTTTTGTTTTCTTCTATTACTACCATCCAAGGAAATTAATTAATCATTTTTGTTTAAGAGGTTCAAGGTAATGGTATCTTTAAGACTTGGTGATTCAAGTGATAAAGGCATTTTGTTTTAAAAACACAAGTTACCTTTCATTACCATATCATCCAACGACATGAAGTAAAGATCTTTTCCCACTGTTTGGAATACAGCCTAAAAAAAGAAACCTTTGGATTAGTCCCAATTCTTTATTACAAGTGAAAAACAATTAAAATTAGAAAAACGATCATGGGTAACCCAGAAAAACAAGGTAAACAACAAAAAGTAATCCAAGTAAAATTATGACCATCTGATTTTATAGTTAAGAATCACTTCAAGGACATTTGCTGTTATTCAGTACTCATTTCTCTGGAACATCTCCATTGGACCACTCCTCACAGACAGTGAAGTACCTTTTATCCAGTTTTTAAGTTTCAAGCCCCTGACAAGGGGCTGCTGTTTAAGCACATTATCTGTGGTGGGCCATGGATGCTATATTAAAGACTTAATACCACCACCAGTTGCTGTCGAGTTGATTCGGACTCATGGCCGCCCCGCATGTATCAGAGTGGAACTGTGCTCCATAGTGTTTTCAGTGGCTAACTTTTTAGAAGTAGATGGCCAGGTCTTTCTTCTGAGTTGCCTCTAAATGGACTCGAACCTCCAATATTTCGGTTAGCAGCTGAGCACATTAACCATCTGCACTACCCAGGGACTCCAAAGACTTAATAAAGAGGGGTAATTCTCCTACATTCCTTCCAATAACTAACAGCATCATTTTCATGCATAATGTGATACAGAAATTATTCAGACATACTTACGGTGAAATTAAATAGCTCAGATGAAAAAAGAATCTAACAAAAATGTAATCAGAAAGCCTGCCAGATTGTGGTGATGTATCATTAAAAAAAAAAATTTTTTTTTTTGCTCAAATTCGAGGAAAGAATCACTTAAATCCCATTAATAACCAAATCAAAAAATTTAAAGCCTTACTCATTAGTACTTTCTATAGGATTGTTAATTAGCTTAGTTAAAGCCAGAAGTAGTTGTGTCTATATTATTTTATGTCCACTTTAAATAGTCCTACATGGTTCTTTTCTATTTGGCAGGTATAGAATAATTCATCCAAATAGGATCCTGTATATACATAAGTATATGAACTCTTCAAAGTTAATGGGTGGAAAAGATCAGAATGTAATAAATTATGGCACATTAATGTCACACAATATTATACAGCTATCAAAAATTGTTTATAGTCTTCTGGTGCCAGCTGAGATGAAGTAAAGTGATGGCAGCCTCCCTTTTCCACTGATTACAACTATATATTCTGGACAGCATACAAAAAGCAACTATCTGAAGACTCTGAAAAATGAACAGGAACAGATAGATTGAAGACTGAAGTAAAAACTTGAATAACATAATAGGGGTGAGTTTCACCATCTTTCTTCTTTTTTTCCTCCTTTTGTCTCGTGCTTTTGACCAAACGGTGGGCTCAATTACAGAACTGTACACCTGGCAGCAAAAACTCTGGAAGAAACCTCTATTTCTAGTCAGAGGATCAGGAAAAGAGGCCTCTGTATGCTAGAGAGTGGGGGGTGGTGTGGGAAATTCCCAAATTGTTTTTCTGTTTCATTTTCTAGACCTGCCCTGAGGGCAGCCACAGCCACAGCCTGGCGGCAGCTGTGGTAACTAGTACAAACCCCCCAAAATCAGACCCACTGCTGTTGAGTCGATTCTGACTTACAGCAACCCTATAGGGCACAGTAGAACTACTCCATAGGGTTTCCAAAGCTGTAATCTTTATGGAAGCAGACTGCCACATCTTTCTCCCATGGAGCGGCTGATGAGTTCAAACTGCTGACCTTTTGGTTAGCAGCCGAGCACTTAACCACTGTGCAGGACCCCTTAGTGGTAGGGCACACACCAAAAAATACAAGAGAAGACCTATCTTCCTACCCAAAAAATGGGAAATGGGGCTTCTGTTGTCTGGAGAGCATGTGGTAGTGAGAATTCCCATGAACTTTTTCTCTCTTTTTTTTCTGTTTCACCCCAAGGCAGGCTCAATGACACAGAACTGCACAACAGCACAGAGGGAAACAGAGAAACATGCTTTCTGGTCAGAGGAACTAGAAAAAGGGGCCCTTGGGGACTGGAAAAAGAAAACTCTGGGAGCCAGAACATTTGGAGGAAATCTCAGAGAGGAAAGAGTTGGGAAATTTGAACCCCTAATACAATACATGAAACCCTGGTGGTGCAGTGGTTAAGCGCTCAGCTGCTAACCGAAAGGTCAGCGATTTGAACCAACCAGCCGCTCTGCGGGAGAAAAATGGGGCAGTCTGCTTCTGTAAAGATTTACAGCCTTGTAAATCCTATGGGGGCTGTTCTACTCTGTCCTATAGGGTTTCTATGAGTCGGAATCAACTTGACAGCAATGGGTAATACTGCATGTGAACTGATATAAATTCCAGGGTCACCCCTGAGCTATGCATGTGCAGAACAAAACCAAGTAAGCATAGCAAAGGCTTCAACAACTGAACTACAATATAAATCACTGCCCAAGTCCCAGTGTAACCCCTGAGTGGCTCATGTACTAGAAAGACCCAAACAATATAGCAAAAGTTTTGAAAACTAAACTGACATTGGAACCACCAACCACAGAAGGAAAGATAAAATTTGTGGTATGAACCTAACTGGGTTGACTGACTGACAAAACAAAAATTTTAACATATTCCAGAGGATTTAACAGGACCCAAAGTCTTACAGCATAATATCTGAAATGTCCAGGATAAAATCTACACTTACTAAACAAACAAAAAACGAGGAAAATCTAACCATTTCTCATGGAGAAGACAGTTAACAGATGCAAAGCCTGAGATGACCAAATGTTGGAAGTATCAGACAAACTTACAAAAGCAAGAAGTTCAGCAAATTCCAAACAAGATAAGGTCAAATCACCAGACACATCATAATGGCATGGGAAAGTGCCTACCATATAATCTTAAATGACGAACACAGAATACAAAATGTATGTTGAATGAAATCAACTATGACCAAATATGCAGATGTTGTCAGGTGCGGTTGAGTCGATTCCAACTCATAATGACCCCATGTGACAGAGGAGAACTGCTCCATAGGGTTTTCTTAGCTGTAATCTTTATAGCAGCAGATCTCCAGTTCAGTTAGCAGCTAAGTGCTTAATAATTGTGCCACTAAAAAAAACCCATCGCCATCAAGTCGATTCCAACTCATGGTGATCCTATAGGACAGAGTAGAACTGCCCCACAGAGTTTCCAAGGAGTACCTGGTAGATTCGAACTGCCGACCTTTTAGTTAGCAGCCATAGCTCTTAATCGCTATGCCACCAGGGGCTCCTAAATATGTAGATGATACACTTATATTCCATATAAATAAAAAAATCATGAAATAAAAACAAACTGCTAACTCTGTTTGTGTGTGGATGAGCATATTACATGATTGTTACTTTCTCCTATTTAACTTTGCATATTTCCCAGATTTTCTGCACCAAGATTTTTTTTTTCAAAAATCATGAACACTAAACAATTTTCATTTTTTAAATCCCAAAGTGAAAATCAAGTAGTAAACATTAATAATTACTTTTCCCTAAGGTCCAGAACCTTGATTTTTTTTAATCACTTTTTTGAATTGTTTTTGTTACATTATAATTTTTTTCTCAACTTTTCCTAACACAAGGACTTTGGAAATAGTTTTATAAGTCACCTTTCAAAATGAAGGGCAACACTCCCATTAATTACTTATTACATAATTCTATACCTCAGATGGACTCTTATCCAAATTAGGTATGCCGTTCCAGACATTCTCAGGATCCACTATCTCCTCCATACCATTTGAAAGGTTCAAAACCTTTAAGAGAAAAAAGAAATTTAATAAATACTAACAAGTTCCAAAAACTGTAACTGATTTATGTATCATAACAATTCTTTTTTAAATGAAATATTTTTAAAAGGCAATGAAAAATATTTTATTAAACTTCACTCTCATGTTTCAACTAGTGGTACTTCAGTTCAATAAATGTATATTGATTATCTATGCCTGGAGATAAAAGATGGATAAAATTTAGATCTTACCTCAAGAGGTTCAAAATCTAATGGAGGCACAGACCTCTACACAGGTAATACAATGTAGGAAGTACAGACTTTTGCAGGAGGAGGTAGAATAATATGATATAGGTATAAAGCAGGGCTTTACTTCTAACAAGTTCCCTGCTGAGAATTTGCATTTCTAACAAGTTCCCAGGAAGTTATACATAAGAATCACCTGGGAATCTTGTTAAACTGTAGATTCCGATTCAGTATAACTAGGGTGGAAACACAAATTCTCAGCAGGGGGTCGAATTGAAAATAACTGGTTCGAAGCCCTGGTATAAAGCTCTTTTGGTGAAGAAGGGTAGAGATGGGGAGGTTTAGAAAATAATGCCAGTGAATGCCTTCTGGAAGAAGCTTTAAAGATAAGTGGGAGTCAACCAGTCTGAGAATGGGCTGGAATGGCAAATAGAGCTGCATTATTAAAGATACTGAAGCAATCAAACAGGATGTTATATATATAAGAGAACTCAAGAAGTTGAATGACAATCTAATATAAAGTACAAAATATAAAGGAGGAAGATGTATGGCTGAGGAGGTACATGGAGGCTCAACCCTAGAGGACCTTCTATGTCATGTTAATGAGCTTGACTTTTATATTGTAGACCAGTGGTTCTCAAATTTTAATGGTATAAGAATGCACTTTTCTGGATCCTTCTCCCAGAAATTCCATGTCAGCAGGTCACGGCAAGGCCCAGGAATCTGTAATTTAAGAAACACACCTGGTAATTCTGGTACAGGTGATTTTCAGATCACAGGAGAACTAAAATACAACTGGAAGTCCCTGAAAAGTTTTTTACATACAGGCATGATATAGTCAGATTTGCATCTGACAAACTTTCACTGACACTATGGAGGATCAGTTTAAGGAAGACTGGATAAAAGGTGATTAGAACAATCTAGTTGTGAAATGATCGACTCAGCTAACGCAGTGATAAAAAGTTTCTTCAGTTAAGAGCTAAGAAGCAGAAAGTGTGGGTCTTGGTGACTGACAGGATTTCAGGAGGGAAGAGGAGTGAAGAGCCCAGGATGTTTATATACGGACTTTTAAAATGGATTTTTGCACTGCATCAAATAACCAGGAGGAATGAGCAAGTAAACATCTGTTCAACTGCATTCTCTTGTCCGTCAAAGATTGATAAAATTTTATTAACAGTCTGCAAGTCCATTTTGAGATAAAATACTTAAATTTCACTTACTTTTGTGCCTTCTTCAGCTATTTCCAAAATCTCACACTTAGACCACATGTTTCTTAGACTTGACCACACAACACATTTGGATCCAACAGTAAATCCTTTCAGAGTATAGGTGTTCTCTGGTTGAGCTGCTAAATTGAACAAAGACTCAATTCATAACTCTTAATTCCTTAATGCTAGATACACAAGCAGAGCATTTTCCTAATCTGCATTTAAAATTCCCATATAATCAATACCATGTAATTAGTACATTGGTATAATATGTACTAAGCCTATCCCTTTTCCTCAATTTTAAATTCTTCCAGTGACCCCTCCAATATTATCCCCTTTACTTTCCTTTAGAAACACCACTATCGTAAGGATGTAAATCTAATTTCTATCACTGAAAATTATTAGAAGCTGGTATTGTTGCTGCAAGTGGTGTGATCTATTTTTACAACAGCCATTCCTATAATGAAACAGCAGTTAAGTGAGCAGATATTCTTATCACAAAGTCAGTACTTATTATTATTAAAATGTGATAAGGAGAACTAAATATCAAATGCTAGGGTAATATTTTAAATAAATTATATCCACAGGATGACATACTATGCAATTAAAATATTCTGAAAGCATATTTAAGGGATTAAAATGTAGGATTCAATACTGTATGATCTCTATTTCATTTTTCAAATCATATGTAGCCAGACATAACACAGAAGGACCCTGGTGGAAGAGCGGTTAAAGGGCTTGGCTGCTAACTGAAAGGTCAGCTGTTGGAACTCACCAGCTGTTCCACAGGAGAAAGATGTGGCAATCTGCTTTTGCAAAGATTAGAGCATTGGAAACTCTATGGGGCAGTTCTACTCTTTCCTATAGGGTCGCTATGAATCGGAATCAACTGAACGGCAACGGGTTTGGCTAGACATACTCAAAAAGGGTAAAAGATGACAAGAAGGAAGTACACCATAGTGTTTATAGTGGTCATTTCTTGGTAGTAGGATTATGGTGATTTTCATTCTCCTTATTCCATTTTTTAAATTTTGTACACTGGTTCAAATTTAATAAATACAAAAATTGGCATTTAAAAGTCTAACATTGATTATAAAAAAACTGAAAGCTAGCCATTTAATGTAACTTTCAAATCTTTTACAATAGCAATTAGCAGTAAAAAATAACCAAAAAACATACATGATAATGTTCTCCAAGCTTTACTCATGGCTATTAAGTTTTTTATTAATAGTCTCCCTAGATCTATTTTTTGTTTAAAAGTTTCTAAATGAAACAAAACTGTTAAATTTGAAAAATCTGCTAAAATGATCCTTATCTTAAATTCATGCCTAAATACCCAAAACCCAAACCAAACCCATTGTGGTCGAGTCGATTTGACTTACAGCGACCCTATAGGACAGGGTAGAACTGCCCCATAGGGTTTCCAAGGAGCACCTGGTGGATTCAAACTGCTGACCTTTTGGTTAGCAGCCATAGCTCTTAACCAGGATGCCATCAGGGTTTCCCATGCCTAAATAGTGCTTGGCAAAGGAACACTATGTTTTTTAACTTACCAAAAAATATAACCTTTTGATTTTAAAGATAAGTTGTTTACATTTTAAACGTAGTTACTTTTGGAGACTTAGAGATCTGAAGCACTCTTTTTTAAACACAAAATTAACAGTTCAGCATTTCACCCAGTGTATAAAGTAGTATTTTACACTGATTTTAACTTATTTCCCCCATGTTTAAAATGCCCTTCATAAAATCCAAATCTGATTCACTTCCCAGGTTTTAATCTTTACCCTCAGAAAAACTAATTTTTCAAAATTCCATATAAAATTCTCTTTTTCTTAAAAGAAGTATTTTTGAAAGATGTTAACTCAAATTTAAATAACAGGAAAAAAATCCGCATACCTGAGACATGATCTTGTAAAGCATTATTGTGCTTCCTTCCATCTCCAGATTCCTCTTCAGAGAACAAAGGAGTCAATGATGAAATGGTACCCCTGTTTTTATATTCCATCAATTCTTCTTTAAATATATTCATTTCAATCTGCATTTTGGGATTGCAATTTTTTCCATGTAGATGCAATGGTATCCTGGGCCGCTCATCAAAACATTCCACACAATTTGACTTTCTGATGTCCTCAGCACACACTGATTCTTGGGCTTTCTGACCAAGTTTTAAAGGCAAAGGATTTACTTTGTCATCTAGAGACAGCTGGGCTGTAGGTAGTTCCAGTTCTCGCTGTTTCTCGGCTTCACCGTTGGGTGGAAGCTGCTCTGTAAGTGGTTCCAGGGTGTCCTCTGTATCACAGCCTTGGAAAAGTGGTGCCAAGCTGAGCTCTTCTTTATTTTCCTTCCCAACTAGAGAAAGTTGTAACTCAATGGATTCTAGTTCTAACAATTCTTTTGATTCACCATCAGAAGAAAATGGCACCTGAAGTGAATTCAGTTCTAGTATCTCCTTTGTTTCACTAACACATGGTAGTAATTTGTTATGTCCTGCCCTTAGGTATTTATCATCAAACTTTGCTTTGTCAACCAAATGGCACTCTACTTTACCTTCTAGCACTTCAGTACCAATTTTATCTTTGCATGGGGTTTCAAAAGCTTCAAGAATACTATTAGTTTCACGGTCATAGGATTTACATGATTTGGTTTCAATAATGTTTGAATCTTCTTCAGTTTTTTCTGAGATCTCATCTTTCTGTGGTTCCACAGATAGTGTTTTATCTTGTTCAATTTTATTACTTTGTTTCTTAAGTCCAACATCAGGACTGGGGTACCCAAGGGCTCCCTTTCTCTCTGGACCACTTTTTTCACAGGGTGGATCACTGTTAGTAATACTAATCTTAGAATATTTCTTCATTTTCTCATTAATACTTTCACCTTTGCTTTTCAAGTCAACAATCGCTAAAGGAATATCACAAACATCCCTCCTGATCTCCAATATCGTTAGTTCCAACACATCTTCTGTTACTATTTCAAAAAAATAGTCATTTCCCTCTGGAGGGCATACTCCTTCCGAAATATTAAATCCCGAGAGGCAACATGGAAAGGCTTGCATGGGAACCAACAGAAGTTCAGACGGAATATTCCAGAGTGCTTTTGGGTCCACACAGTCTTCAATGTTTCCAAAGTCCATAAGCCTGACGGATACAAAATAATCTTCACAAATATTAGTGATAAATGCTCTATAATACTGCCCATCTTCCCTATATTTCACTATGCAGGGATCTCCAATATGAGGATATGTGATACAATTTCTCCACTTTGCTACCAGTTCTCCAGCAGTTTGTACTTCCACTTCTAAATACTGAAGTTTCTCAGTATCAGCAAACTGACACCAAAAGTACTCAGGTCCATCTATCACAGATGCATAAGCTCTTACAATCTTCATCTCTGGATTATACCAGTTAAGAAATACTGAAGTGTCAATGTCTGATTTGTTAACAGACTTTGAATGGACACCTTTAACTATTTGGGTAGAAAGTTCTTCTTGAGATTTTTCATTGGAAGTATATCTGCTAATCATGTCTTCTGCTATGATCCCATGTTCATCAGCAAGAATAACTTCCCATCTATCTTGAAATTTAACAAATTCACATCTTATTTGAGCCTCATCTGTCCTTTCGGAAAAGTAATGTATCATTTCCTTACAGTTTATAATCTCAGGGACCCAAGGTCCCTTTAACGAGCAATGAATGCACAATCCCGGTAATATTGCATTAATTAGGTCAAGCCTACCTATCTTGTTAGTACAAACCACAGAAACATTGCCATAATCTATAAACTGTACAGAGAAAAGGTCATTAGGTTGTTGTTCCTTGACCACAGCCCGATACCATAAATTGTCTTCTGGGAAAATGGCACATACTACATCTCCTCTTTGCAAAGGTGGACCTTTATAATATTCAGGTCTTGTTCTGACATTGTTTAATCTCTCTGAAAGATGATTAATTTCAGATTCATCTTCCATTAACTGAACATAAAAGTCTGAAAGGTTATTTATGTGAGAAACATAAACAGTTGTTTTAAAGCCAGGCATTATGTTCTTCTGAGGAAACTCACAAAATTTAAGAGGCAAATCTTTGTTACATTCTCCTGTTTTTTCCTCTGAAGCAATGGCTTCTAGTTTTGTGGGCTTTAAAGGTGACTTAGCAAAAATTCCTTCCATCTTCTCTGTTGTTAATAGCGACACTTGATTATTTCCCACAGAGTTCTGATACCGAGTGACTACATTTGTCTTTGTTGAACTTTGTAAAAGTTTGGATTCCTTACATGCTGAGCTGATCTTGGGTTTGTAAGATTCTCCCAAGATCTCCATACTGTATAATTTGTCCTCTACTGATTTACTTAAATATTCTGTAGGTGACAGCTTTATATTTTCATCAAGAGTTTCAGTTGTAGAGAGGAGTATTTTCCTTTCTTCTTCTTTTCTTGCCCTATCTTTGTAACCAAGTAGCCCTAACCTCTCATTAATATTTGCATTAATTTGAATACTGCCATCATACAGTTCTATAATGAGTCTTCCATCTGGATCTTTTGCTACAACCAATGCCTTCAATGACTTATCTACAATAGTATCCTGAAACCATGTTGTAACTTCTTCTGGTATATGATTAGGAATATCAGATAAGGAACATTTAACAGCTTGCACGGGCAAAAGTAAGACATCATATGCATCACTAGGAATGGGAAGCAGATCATCATTTGTTACTACATAAACATTGCCAAAATCAACAAAGAAGATTTTATTTGGTTCTTTTTCTATTACTATTCCCCTGTACCAGTTTTCATCAGTATATTTGGCAAGGCACAAGTTTCCACAGATGAAGGGAAATGGTTTTAAATTCAGCAAAACTTTACTTAATTGTGTAATATTACATGACAACTGTTCCAAAATGTTTGCATTTCTTGCTAGTTGACAATAAAACGTCCAAGGGTCATCAACATGTGTTATATACACTAATTCCTCACTTCCAATTTTCATATCATGTGTTGAATAGTAGTAGGAATGTAGTCGAACAGAAGGCTCTAGAGGCTTCTGAAGTTTTACTGGTCTTGCAAGTCCCTTTTCTACCAAAGTATGGCACGCACTCTGAAAGGGTGTTAGCAAATCTACGACATGAAAGAGTTCTTCATCATGTATGGATGCCAAAGCAAATATTGTGCATTTCAATTCTAAATTGCCTTCCCATGCGTTATCTATAAACTCACTAAAAGCTTGTATTGCCTTTTCATCCCAAACAAAGGGATTTTGACCAGTTGGTTGAATTAAATTATAAAGACTGCACCTAAAAGCCTGAGCCTTAATCTTAAGAAACTCTTCACTAATTGAATATATATTCTTCACAGATACCGTATCTTTGTCTCCATAATCTACAAATATTACTTTGACATGCTCTGCAGATTGTGCTCCACTAATCAGAGCTCTGGACCATTTTCCATTTACTGTTCGCTTTGCCAAACAAGCTGGGGTGGTTCCCTGATAAGCAGTAGCCGTGTTTTTACAATAGTCCTGAATATCACACATTAGAGTTCTAAATCCTTGTATGTTCCTAGTCAGCTGGCACCAGAAATAGCCAGGGTTTTCAACGTAAGACACTTTGACTTCTACTGTACTTCCAACTTCTAGCTCTCCTTCACAAGAAGAGCCTGGCTTAATTTTCAAGAAATCCTGCGTAAGTGAAGTATAAACCAATGTTCTTTTCTCTTTTTCCTGCAAAACAAGTCCAGCTGAAACATTTGTAACAATTGTTGTGCCAATCAAACCTTCTGAAACACATGTAGTTTTATGATTCTTCCTTGCTTTCTGGTCTACTTCTACCTTCTTGATAGAAGATACTTTGTTATTCTCTGCAGTAAAATGGCTTGAAACAATCCCTGGGGAACGGGGGCTTACTGGGATCTTATCCTTTGTTTCAAATTCCTGATACTTGGCATATCCAGCTTGTGCAATTACTTTACTGATGTTTTCTTCCCCTGTTCGTGATTCATCAAGAATCTCAATAACATATTGATGATCCTGTTTATCAAGGACATGGATAACTAATTCTTTGTGGAGCACAGTCTTTTTAAAAAAGAAAATTGCCTCCTGGCTCCAACTTTTCCCCAAAGGCCAAATATCAGCTAGAGTGCATTTCAGAGCCAGTATTGGCAGCCGCCTAAACTGAGGAAGCAACATCCTTACATCACACCAGTCCACATTTTCTGAATTGCCTCTGTCCACCAAAAATACATCTACACTTTTGTCATCTAATCTGGTGACTATGGCCCGATAATAGCCATTTTCTTTCCACTTGACACAGCAAAGGTCATCAGGTTCAGGTTTCAAAACTACACCATCCAGCTTAGTGGCCGAGGAATAGAAACTGCACATTCTCCTCATCAACTTGTTCAAGGTGCCATTGTGTTTCCTTAACCTAATCCAAAACTCAGAAGGACTTTTAACAAACTCTATCTGGGCATCATAGAAGGCATTAATCTTCAACCTGATAGATCTTAGGGATGGAAGTGAAATCTCTTCATCCATTTCTTCAGAAGGAGACTGAGAGTGAACAGCTGTTTCTGATTCTTCTTCTTCCTCCTCCTCATCTATTCCCTGGTTCTGAAGGAATCTGTCAGCCAAGCAACATGACTGTACTCCAAACACACAGTTAAGATTAATTCCATCGTCTCCATACAGTGTGACATAGTATACATGCTCAAAGGAACAATAAAATTCAATTTTTGCATTCACTGCCTGGCCCAGTATCAGTGCTTTTAGGTCACCGACCTGTGACCTAGACCAGCCTGTCCCACCGTCCCAGAGTCCATACAAAGCACAAGGGTAGGTCACCACGGGCATCCGGAAATACTCAGGCAGCAAGTACCGAAGACTGCTACAACTCACTAACTCCTTCCTTCCATAGTCTACGTGAAGCACCTGGGCACAGCGCTGCGGCCGAAAAGTTTCAAGCAAGAGTGCCCTGTACCAGTGTCCATCTAATCCACAGGAAGCACACGGAGCACCCGGCTTGTCTGGGCTTTCCTCTCTTTCCTCCCTCTCCTCCCAGGTGGCACTGGTGGAGTTCTCATCTCCTGTCCCGGTTGAGCTGCGGTATACCTGGGCCATGCTCTCGGAGAGGCGGTGAATCTCCTGAGAGAGACTCCGGAGCTGGCAGTGAATGCGGTGGGGATGGCACACTTGGGTTACCACCACAGGCTCTGTCACGCCCAGCTGCAGCTGGGGATAGAAGTAATCCAGGCCAGGTTGCTCTTGCTTGGGCAGGACTCGAGGGAGAACAGGGACCCCGGGGCCCATGCCAGCAGTGGCCGCTGTGAGGTAGCGCTTGAGGAGCGAGCGAAAGAGGCTGTCGGGCACCTGCCGGGCGAGGCCGAGCTCCTGCATCTGCTGGAAAAGATCCGGCACCTCCAGAAGGACGAGGCGATGGGGGAGCAGCACGTCCTGCACCCGCCCGTGCACCTCCTTGCCCTGCAGGTTGCTAAGGAAGTCCACGGCGCTGGATGCCCAGTGCTGGGGCTCGCCCCCGCCCGCGCCGCCGCCGGCCGCCGGCACGAAGCCGGCCAGTACGCAGCCCAGCACCTCCGAGGGCAGGTGGAAGAACTCGCTGCGCCCAGGCGCCAGGGAGCCTGCGCCGGCTGTGATGGTGCGGCCCTCGTCGAGCAGGAAGACGCGGCTCTCCTGCGCCTGCCGGCTGACTACGCGACAGCGGTGCCACATCAGCCCCATCTGCACCAGGCATAGCTCGCCCGTCGAGGCCGAGGCGCCACCCAGCGCCCACGGGCCGCGCGTGGCCGCCGCCTCCTGGATCTCCCGGCTCAGCCGCACGTACTCTTCCCGCCGCTCGCCCACCAGCCCCCATAGCTGCACGGGGATCACCTCGGGGTGCACGTCTACAAAGGACACCCGGAGGGCTAGCGAGGCCCCCGGCGTCGGCAGCCCGGGCGTCGAGCACATCTCCGCGGAGCGGGGCGGCGCGGCCACCGCTCACAGAGCGGTCGGAGCCACTTGTCAGGCGTGTGAACGCCCCCGCGCCGCTGGAAAGAAAACCCCACAAAACCAAGCACAAAAGTGAAGGGAATGGGAAGGAAGCCCGGCGCGGCGCCCTCAGCGACGCACACGACGCCAGGTCTCACAGACGCCCACGGACTGGTAAGACTCGGCGGCCGGACCAACCGCTCACAGTTGCGCCGCCGCGCAGGCATTTACGGCGCGCGGCGTCCCGCTTCCGGCCGCGGGCTGCTGGCGGGGCCTACGTGGGCGGCCAGGGCAGGCAAACGGGGGGCGACGGACTGTGCGGAACGCGGGCTGGAGATTTGGCTAAGGGCCGTGGGGACTTCGAAGGATATTCAGGAGGCCATGAGGTGGTGAGGATTGGGGCACAACTCGCTTCTCCTCAGAGCGCCTTCTACACAGTGTGAAGGCCTGGCTTTGGGGCTCTGCTGAGGATCAAACGAGAAATTTATTTCCTTTTCGTCAGCTCCACTAATATTGAGCGCTGCTTGCTAGGCGCGGTGCTCCTTAGGCGTTGTAGTTCTCAAACAGCGAACAAGAAATGGAGGCGCCAGCGGCTAGGCATTAGGGCCTCAACTCCTAGAGGGCCCTAGGGAACCTCTCACCTGCTGACGGGAGGCGACAGTGCAGCGTGATGTGCATGTGCGCTTGCGCCCGCTGGTGGGGCTGGAGTGGAGTGCTTTTGCTCACTCAGCATATTTGTGACAAGAGCAAGATGCTTAACCACTATTCTATGAAGCTGCTTATCTGAATTGATAAGTTATTATGAGGGTTAAAGTATGAGAGTGGATAGATAGCTGCCATCGAGTAGACTCCGACTCATGGCGACATTATGTACTATAGAACTAAATGTTGCTGTGTCTTGCGTCATCGTCACTTTTGAGTCCATCATTGCAGGTATTGTGCCAATTCATTTCACTGAGGGTAGCCCTCAACCTTGCTTCACCAAAGCAGTGGCCTCCTCCAGTGATTGATCCCTCATGATGATGTGTCCAAAGTGAGCGAGTCTGGTGGGACAGTGTTCTGTTGTAATCCATGCGATTTTCATTGGCTAATTTACCACCACTCGTCTGTCAGTTTCTCATACAGTGGTGGCTTGCATGTTGCTGTGATGCTAGCAGCTATCCACCAGCATTTCAAATACCTGCAGGGGCACCTATGGTAGACAGGTTTCAGCGGCGCTTCCAGACCAAGACAGACTAGGAAGGAGGACCTCGTGGTCTACTTCTGAAAAAATTGGCCAGCGGAAACCTTATTGTCTGATATAGTGCTGGAAGACAAGCCCCTCAGGTTGGAAGGCACTCAAAATACAACTGGGGAAGAGCTGCCTCCTCAAAGGAGAGTCAGCATTACTGATGTAGATAGTGTAAAACTTCCGGTACCTTGATTTGCTGATGTGGCGTGACTCAAAGTGAGAAGAAAAAGCTGCAGACATCCATTAATAATCGGAATGTGGAATGTCTGACGTATGAATCTAGAAAAATTGGAAGTGGTCAAAAATGAAATGGAACTCATAAAGATGGATATCTTAGGCATTAGTGAGCTGAAATGGACTGGTACCGGCCATTTCTGAATTGGACAATCATATGGTCTACTATGCTGGGAATGGCAAATTGAAGAGGATTGGCATCCCATTCGTCATCAAAAAGAACAATTCAGGATCTATCCTGAAGTACAGCGCTGTCAGTGATAGGATAATATCCATATGCCTACAAGGAAGACCAGTTAACATGACTGTTATTCAGATTTACACACCAACCACTAAGGCTAAAGATGAAGAAATTGAAGATTTTTACCAACTTCTGCAGTCTGAAATTGATCAAACATGCAATCAAGATGCATTGATAATTACTGATGATTGGAATTTGAAAGTTGGAAACAAAGGAGAAAGATGGGTAGTTGGAAAATATGGCCTTGCTGATAGAAACAATGCTGGAAATCGTATGATAGAATTTTGCAAGACCAATCACTTCTTCATTGCAAATGCCTTTTTTCAAAGACATGAATGGCTGCTATACACGTGGACCTCACCAGATGGAATACCTGGGAACCAAAATGACTACTACTGTGGAAAGAGACGATGGAAAAGCTCCATATCACCAGTCAGAACAAGGCCAGGGGCTGACTGTGGAACAGACTATCAGTTGCTTATATGCGAGTTAAAGTTGAAGCTGAAGAAAATTAAAACAAGTCCATGAGAGCCAAAGTATGACCTTGAGTATATCTCACCTGAGTTTACAGACTATCTCAAGAATAGATTCGATGCAGTGAACATTAATGACGGAAGACAGATGAGTTGTGGAATGACGTCACAGACATTATACATGAAGAAAGTAAAAGGTAATTAAAAAGACAGGAAAGAAAGAAACAACCAAAACAGATGTCAGAAGAGACTGTGAAACTTGCTCTTGAACATACAGCATCTAAAGCAAAAGGAAGAAATGATGAAGTAAAAGAGCTGAAGAGAAGATTTCAAAGGGAAGCTTGGGAAGACAGAGTAAATTTTTATAATGAAGTGTGCAAAGACCTGGAGTTTGAAAACCAAAAGGGAAGAACAAGCTTGGCATTTCTTGAGCCGAAAGAACTGAAGAAAAAATTCAAGACTTGTGTTGCAATATTGAAGGATTCTATGGGCAAAATATTGAACCATGCAGGAAGCATCAAAAGAAGATGGAAGGAATACACAGTTACTGCACCAAAAAGATTTTGTTGACATTTGACATTTTAGGAAGTAGCATATGATCAAGAACTGATGGTACTGAAGGAAGAAGTCCAAGCTGCACTGAAGGCATTGGTGAAAAACAAGGCTTCAGGAAATGACAGAATACCAATTGAGATGTTTCAACAAATGGATGCAACACTGGAAGTACTCACTTGTCTAAAACAACCAAATATGGAAGAGATCCATATTTGTGTCCATTCCAAAGAAAGGTGATCCAACAGAATGTAGAAATTATTGAACAATATCATTAATATTACACACAAGTAAAATTTTGCTAAAGATAATTCAAGCATGGTTGCAGCAGTACATCGACAGGGAACTGCCAGAAATTCAAGCAGGATGCAGAAGAGGACATGGCATGAGGGATGTCATTGCTGATGTCAGATGGAGCTTGGCTGAAAGCAGAGAATACTAGAAAGATGTTTACCTGTGTTTTATTGACTATGCAAAGGCATTCGACTGTGTGGATCATAACATATTATGGATAACGTTGTGAAGAATGGGAATTCCAGAACACTTAATTATGCTCATGAAGAACCTGTACATAGACCCGGGGCAGTCCTTTGAACAGCAAGGGGCTGACTGACTGGTTCAAAATCAGGAAGGGTGCGCATCAGGGTTGTATCCTTTCATCATACTTACTCAATCTGTTATGCTGGCAAATAATCCCAGAAACTGGAGTATATGAAGAAGAATGGGGCATCAAGATTGGAGGAAGACGCATTAACAACCTGCGATATGCAGATGACACAACCTTGCTTGCTGAAAGTGAAGAGGACTTGAAGCCCTTACTGATGAAGATCAAAGACTACAGCCTTCAGAATGGATTATACCTCAACATAAAGAAAACAAAAATCTTCACGACTGGACCAGTAAGCAATATCATGATAAACAGAGAAGACTGAAGTTGTCAAGGATTTCATTTTACTTAGGTCCACAGTCAACGCCCATGGAAGCAGCAGTCAAGAAATCAAAGGACACACTGCATTGGGCAAATCTGCTGCAAAATACCTCTTTAAAGTATTAAAAATAAGTCAGTTTGAGGACTAAGGTGCTTCTGACCCACGCCATGGTATCTTCAGTCACCTCATATGCATGCAAAAGCTGGACAGTGAATAAGGAAGACCGAAGAAGAATTGACGCCTTTGAATTATGGTGTTGACAAAGATTATTGAATATACCACGGACTGGCAGAAGAACCAACAAATCTATCTCAGAAGAAGTACAGCCAGAATGCTCCTTAGAAGCGAGGATGGTAAAACTTTGTCTCATGTACTTTGAACATGTCATCAGGAGGGACCAGTCCCTGGAGAAGGACATCATGCTTGGTAAAGGAGAAGGTCAGCGAGAGAGAGGAAGACCCTCAACCAGATGGACTGACTGGCTGCAATGATGGGCTCAAGCACAGCAAGGATTGTGAGGATGGCGCTGGACCATGCAGTGTTTTGTTCTGTTGTACAAAGGGTGCTATGAGTTGGAACTGACTTCATGGCACCTAACAGCAACAAATTTTGGAAGTGGATCACCAGGCCTTTCTTCCTACTCTGTCTTAGTCTGGAAGCTCCACTAAAACCTGTCCACTATTGGTGACTCGGCTAGTACAGTAGCTCCCCACCCCCACCTTATCCGTGGTTTCACTTTCTTTGGTTTCAGCTACCCGCGAACAACCACTGTCTAAAAAAGTGAAATGAGTAGCATGATGAAGTCTCGCGCCATCCCGCTCAGGGACCACATACACTGAACTTTTATTACAGTATTTTATCACTGTTCTATTTTATTACTAGTTGTTGTTAATCTCTTACTGTGCCTAATTTTTCATAGGTATGTATGTATAGGGCAAAACATAGTATATATACGGTTAGGTACTATCTGTGGCTTCAGGCATCCATGGGGGGTGGTCTTTGAACATATTCCCCACAGATAAGGGGGGACTACTGTACTTTCATTTATTCTGATTAGATTTCATTTTTTCTTTTTACTAGATACATATTCTAGAATTATTCCAGGGCAAGCCTAAGTGTGGTAAATTTTCTGAGTTTTGAATGTCTGAAAATATCTATCTTCCCTCAGAACTTTGTAAATATTGTTCCATTGTCTTCTTACGTCTGTATCTTCTTATATTGTCTATGAGCTGTCTGATGTCAATCATGCTTTCATTCCTTTCTATGTCATTTTTTTAAGGGGGTTTTGTTTACTTATTCACTTCTAGAACCCTATGAGT